ACAGTCAGAAAAGGGGAAACTGTCATGAAGAAAAACAGGCCCAGCATGAAACCAAACTGCTGTTGCAGTAATGTAGCGTAGCCTTGAGCCAGCATGATGCCTCAAGAGCCTCCTAATTTTTACAGCGGTGTGGCTTCATTTTTCTTCTTGCAACCAGCGAGAAGGAGATAAATAATTTCATTAAAATAAGCCAAGAAAACCTGATGTTCTAATGAACCCTCCGGTAGAAAGATTGCATCAGGACAAAAAATTCAGCACAGTTGTTGGAAAAGCAAAAACCTCTTCATTAGTAAGTCATCGTGTACAACGTGCAGCGGTTACACCAGGAAGATATAAACTACAGAATGCTGCATGGTGGTAAATGAAAGTCAGCAGTGAGTAATCTTTTTTCTTGCTGTCAAGTGATGAAAAAATGCTCATCAGTATAATATCGTGTGCTCTGTGTTTGTATCCTGAGGGAGAAATATATCGACCTCCCTTCTGTCGTGCTCTTTGGTCGCATTGTTGTGGCTGCAGATAAACGGATCGCAGCCGAGGACAGAAGCTGCTCGTATCTGAGGATCTAACAACAGCACTGATCTTAAGATACAAATGCTAAACCCCAAAGACCCGGGAAGCACACAGAAGTCTCTTTGAACATCATTGATGTTTCTGCCAGCTCATCCATTGTGTACGCTCTTCACAGGTTTGGTGCATGTAGGAGATGAGCTGAGGGAGGTGAACGGGGTCTCTGTGATCCACAAGAGGCCTGATGAGATCAGTCAGTTGTTGGTAAGATGGACAGAAGGACATGTGAATGCTGGAATAACTCCACTAAAAAAAACAAATGTCTTTTATCCATTAAAAATAAAGTTCACTGCAAGTTGACAGTTAAGCGTATTATATTTCAGTGTCTTTAATGTAAGGATGCAGTCATAATCTTCCCGTGCTCTTGTTTATTTGTGATCCAGTCCCAGTCCCAGGGCTCCATCACTCTAAAGATAATCCCCGCTATTAAAGAGGAGGACCGGCTGAAGGAGAGCAAGGTGAGATAAAGTATGATGGATGGATGGGTTTCCTCTGAGCTGCACTCAGTATTCAGAGTGTGTAAGGGAGAGAAAAAACAAAAAACGAAACACCTTTTATTGCGCTACGATTTACATAATATTCAGTCTTTGTGTGAACTGCTGAAAGTCCAAATCCAAGGAGATTTCAAATGTGGTTTTTGGCATTTAAGCAACGACAGTGACTGTTTACACTGAATAAAACATGAAAGATGGTAACCCTGTGGTAGCCCCATTTAATTTCAGTTAATAATATTTATATTATTTTTAAATAAGATAATCAGAATATAAATATAATTGTGGCACATTGTGTTTTACAATCACCTTCTCACTTTGCCCTGTGTTTTACATCCAGGACGCTCTGCTCAGATAACTCTAAACCCTAAAATATGGTGCATTTGACTCCAGGTGTACATGAGAGCCTTGTTTGACTACATCCCCTTGGAAGACAAGGCCACACCCTGCCAGGAGGCGGGACTTCCCTTTAAACGGGGAGACATCATTCAGGTTGTGACGCAGGATGACCCCACTTGGTGGCAGGCCAAGCGCGTGGGAGACAGCAACCTGCGTGCTGGACTCATCCCATCCAAACAGTTTCAGGAGAGGTGAGAACGCTTAGAAGAAGGTCTTGTCTTCACAATTAAAATGAGCCTGATGTCACAGAAGCTGAACGGTTCACCCATACGCCACGGATATTTATTTTACCCAGACAATAATCTTTTAAATCCACATTCATGTGTTCCACTTTAAAGGGTCAACTGTGATTAGATGGAGCATCAGATCATTGTGGAATAAATTTAGTTGAAACTCTGACTTGAATAGGCATGTGCTGAAACTCTAAGTGTCAAAATTGCTGTTAACATAATCTCAGCTGATCTCCAGCCAAACACCGCAGCATCTGGTGGATTAATGGTTCAGAACTACCTAAAATTGATTTTTTTCATGTTTGGGACAAACGGATTAGGGTAAAACTGGATTACATTGATTGTCACTGAACAAAAGTGGCATGAGCTCAGGTCTGCTCATCAGGGATGGATTACTGAATAGGCCCAGATGTCTTTTTGTAGTGATTGTTGCCATTTCTTGCTGGAAAGTCCAATCTCTTCAGCAACACAAAGTAAGCACAGAAAATGTGCAAACAGCTGTCTTATTTGTCTCTGCCCTCATAATAAAGCCATCCATCCATGTGTTGTATATTCCTCTGCCTTTTCAGATTCACATCTTTTAGTCCTGACAGTCCCCCCTTACTTTTTGCTTACTCTCTTTCTGCCTTTATCGTCTCTGGTTCTTTGTTCCGCTGCACACTTCCCCAGGCGACTGGCCTACAGGATGAAAATGGGCACACTCCCGAATCCAAAATCCCCTAAAAAGTCTCTCTGTAAGTTTCTGCTTCCTAGGATTTCAGTGCATCTTTTTATAATTACAATTTATGACTGACACTATCTCTCACTATCAGCTCTCCATTCTCTACTGTGATTATATTTTTTTCACTGGCTTTCATTTTTCTAACCTTTTTTTGGTTATTAATTAGAACTCTAACAGCCATTAGTATCAACTGTACATTCCCTAAATGCTGCAGTGTAGACAGGTTTTGAAAAAAAGATTAGAGTTGGAGGAGAAGAAAGACCCTGGGAGGGATCACACATATGAATTAATCTCTTTCATGTTTAGTCCATCTGGCCAGTAAGCGGGCTGCGAGTTCAGCTTAACTCAGACTCTGTAACAACAGTCGTCCGGTGGGAAACAAAGCCCTGTTAATATGCTGCGCTTCTCACTTTTCCAGTTGACACTATAGTGAGTTCATGTAAACAGCCAGGTGAGTGGATGATGTGAGCGGTGGCTCTTCGTGGCACATAAGCTGCAGGCGATCCGATTAGGCGGGAGCTGCGTGGAGACAACAAGAGCTTAGCAATATGGCAACTAGCCCTGCTATGCTGCACAGCAGCAAACCTGCGAGGTCTCTTCTGTCTCAGCCTCCATCCACACTCCCCCAGCTCTCTTTATTAATTCCACCCAATCCCAGCGGGAGCTTTAACATGCGGGTCCCCCTCCTCGTCTCAGAGTGACGTCAGTTTAATGCCAATCTCCTAAATTTAGACTAGCTTTCCTCTGTAACAAATTTCCAACGTTCCTAGAGATTATCAGCACAAAATCATTTATACTTTAACCGTACTTAACATGTTACTCTGCCCTTCACTGCTGCATCAGATGATCCAGGATGTGATAAAGGTTGGTATATGTGCAGCCGCAAACACAGCAAAACAACCAAACACAAACTACAGAGTAATATTGCCATTTGTGTGCATATTCGTGTGTGTGTGTGTAAAGCTTGCATGTGTGCTACTGGGGTGTGCATTTGGGATTTCTACAGCTTCCAGCTTAATTCCTTCCCTCCTACCATTAGTTACCCGACCAGAATAGAGATTCTTTGTGTGGCTAGTTTGAGTGTGTACGTGAGTGTGTGTGTGTTTCTTTTGTATCAGGTAAGGTGCAGGCAGAACAGCATCCCTGGAGACTTTTGTCTAGCAGAGATTGTTGAATAGAACAATACCTCCACCCCTCTCTTGCATCAACCTCACCTCTTATTATCTGTCTTTTGTTTTTCCATATTTGTCTTTACATGAACGTTTCCTGTTCCCCTTTAGTCTATTAAAGAAGCGTAGAAAGCACACATTTTGCTTAGCAATTACAGATGGGTCTGTATAGGCAGTTTGTACACAAGCTGCACATCTTTGGGGACACAGAGCTTGTTTGCGTGTGTGTACACAGAGATCTGTCTCATAGCTGACTCACATACAGATGTAGAGCCATCTCTCTTCTCTCCCTTCTACTTAAATCTCTTTATCAAGCCTTTGTTTAGTGGCTGTTGCCTCTAACAGCACATCTTCATCATCTCTTGGCTGCCCTTCCACTCTCTCCTCCTGCTGTCTGCCTGCCTGCCTGTTGCCCGTTGGGCCCTGCTTCCCCTCTACAGCTACCATGGCCCGCCCACCCCTTTCTTAAACTCTTCCACATCCCTTATTCCTCAACTCTTCCAGGTCTCTTACCCTGTGCTTACCCCCCTCTTTTCCCTGCTTGCCTCCCTACAGAGGACTGTGACTGTGAGGGCTATTTCAATGGACAGTACATAGGTGAGAGTGTGCACATCTTTCTCCACCTCCTTCTCCCTATCTGCTCTGTGCCTGCTGCAGCCTGGCTGTGTGCTGGTTCCCTGGGTGCTTTGGGCTGGGGGCCAAAATAACTGCTTGGAAGGTTGTCTCTTCGGGGGCCAGGGTTGAGGGATAAGAGGAAGGGTGAAGGTTTTGAAGGTTACAAAAAAGATGGTTTTCACAGCAGTCCGAGAAATTAGATGAGGGTCAGTGATTCATTTCTGATAGCTGAAGAGACGGTAGATATGCATGTGAGTGAAACACTTAACTGCTACAGTGTATAATGAGGAAGGGCAAAGGAAAGTGTAGGAAGTACCGTCTCGCACTCACAGCAGGTGTTAGTAACAGAGTTGCCTCTTTGAAGACTCCACTGAATAATTAGTTAGGAGAGAGTTTAGGGATGCATCACTGTGTCAGCTCCTGTGGTGCAGACTGTACAGTTCTACATTATGCAAAACAAGTTATTGTTTTGTTAGAAATTTCCTGAAGGAAAAAAGAGAAAACAGCTCGCTACTTAACTTTCGATTTCAAGCTACTGTGTTTCCACAGCATCTCTTTCAATGTCATGAAAGGACAATTTGAAAAATCCACATTCAGGTGGGGGATTTTTTTTGCACATTGTTAATTGGACGTTTATCCATACAATCACTGGTCACTTTGTTAGTGCTATTGCTGGGTTGGACCCCTTTGGCCTTAATTCTTCAGAGCAATAAAAATGAACAGGGAGCTGCAAACATACCAGCAATATTGGTCCATATTAACATGATGGCATCACATCATTGTTGTTCCAGATTTGTTGGCTGCATCTCCATGATGTGAGTCTCTCATTCCATCACATTTTAAAAAAAAAGTGCTCTAATGGCTCTGGAACTGGGAACAGTGGAGGCCAGGTCAAGAATCCAGTTTTGGATTATTTCAGCTTTTTGGCATGATATGTTTTGCTGCTGGAAGCAGCCAGAAGATGTGTACACTGTGCGGATAGACGGAGGATATGGTGTTTAAATGATGCTCATTTGGTACTAAATTAGATTTGGGATCCCCTACACCCTTACATTACCACCATCCTCCTTATTTAAGGCTGGATGGCTCCATGGTTTCATGTTTATGCCAAATTCTGACCTTAGCATCCTAATGTCTGATTTCAGTTTTACTAAGCCCATGTCACTTCCAGCTTCACCTTCCTGGTCTTAGCTAACAGAAGTGGCACCCAGTGTGGTCTTCTGCTGCTGCAGTCCATCTACTTTAAGGCTCAAAGTGCTGTGCATTCAGATATGCTCTTCTGCATACCTTTGGTTATAACGAATGGTTATTTGAGCTAATGTTGCTTTTCTATTAGCACAAACCAGTCCGACAATTCTTCTTTAACGTCTTGCATCAACAAGACATTTTGCCCCAGAAAACTGCAGCTCACTGGATATTTTCTCTCTGTAAAGTCAGGAGATGGTTGTGTGAGAAAATCCCAATAGATCAGCTCTTTCTGGTATACTCAGACCACCTTTAATCCCCGTTCTGGTGCGCGGTTTGAACTTCAGCAGGTCGTCTTGAGCACATCAACGTGCCAAAATGTATTGACCAATTAGATATTTGGTTTGACGACCAGTTGAAGTAGAGTACCTAACAAAGTGGCCGGTGAGTGTTTTTTGCAAATGTAACACAGACATAACATGAAAAAAAGCAGTGCAAAAAATAATTGTGTAACTTTTATTTTTTTTTTTTACTATATCTTTACCTCAGTAGGACTTAAATTCACCAAATGTGCTGGTTTTATTCTTGCCTTTATTATTACTTTTATCATTATTATTATTATTATTCACTAAATACTGAAACTGTTAGAGAAAGATTTTTTTACTTGCTATAAGTATAAATGAACTCCTAGCATACTGAGCTGGCTAATGTGCAGCATATAGTTCAATAATATGTTATGTTTGAATTTTCATTTTACTCTTCTCCTTAAAAGTACAAACCTATAAAATAATCTAATAGCTAACAACACAGTAATTTATAAAATGTTGCTTACTGTATTTAAATGGACAACTAGGCCAAAGGTATGTTGCAATAAGCAAGGTTTTCTAACGTTACGTTAAATGAGTCCCCAATTTTCTTCCTGTGCTCTTTAGCCTTCCACTGACCTTCACTCCCTCACCCTTCTTTAACCCAGCCTGACCCCTCATCTGCTCCCCCATCCTGTGAGCTGCTGTAATAAGTGTGACAACAAGGAGCGATCTAAACACAGCCCTTTCTCACTGTAACACAAAATACTTCAGTAAACAGTATTTGTGCTTCCCGTTAACCTGCTTGGAGCTGTTAAACCTCTCCCATTCTCATCCCTCCCCCCCACCGCCTTCACCTTGCAGTGTTTGGATCCCCTTAAACCTGCCCCTCCCTCCTGCCCTGCATCTAGCTAACTGTCCCCGCTGCTCTGGTTGGTGCACTGCTTACCCCTACCCTCAGAATCAACCCCTTCCCCCATCCTCTCCCCACCCACGAGGGCCCTGCTGCGTTGGACGCATTGCACACTCAACCAGGCACGTTTGTTGCTTGTTCACCCTGTGTGGAGGTGTGAGGCTGGGTTGTGTGATGCTCTAACGCCAGTTATAGTCTCTCCTAAGTGTAAAGCAGTGGCGCCCTCCTGTGGCCAGGTGTTTTCCTGGGAATTTTATTCAGGTACAGTGCCCGGCTCATTCCTGCAGGTACACATCACTGACAGGGGAGGATACAGACAGTCCTGATCATGGGAGATCCAGTCTTTTCCTTTTAACGTGGCGTCTCCCAGGGCCAGGTTGTCCTGTCTGTCCTGCCTCAGCACTGTAGCCTTGTTGAAAGCAGCATGCTTTTTCTTAATACATAAAAGCAAACTTATATTTACATTGGGTCACTAAAATCAGTTTTTAAATGCAAAAACTATCAAAATATGTAATATAACAGACTAATATATTTACTGTCAGCTGCATGTGATCCAATTTTTAGTTTAAGCATGACATCCCATTGGCTTCTACTTACAGTATATCTCACACTATCAAATATTATAATTGATATATTAAATATATTTGATATATAATATATATATAATATTATATATCAAATATTTAACTATTTGCACTTTCAATAGGATAGATCTATATTCATCCATGTGCACTCTTTACAAAGGTTTTTAATGCATGATCTGTGGGTTGGTCTTGTAATTTATCCAAAAGGTGTTTGTCCACAACTTTATCAAACTGCTGTGCACTAGTAAATGTTGTCGTACATCTGACCAAAGACCTCTTGTTTTCTGTTTCTTCTTCCTTCCCATCTGTGACCTCACTGTAGCTGGTTTGCGGAGGAGTTTCCGCCTGAGTCGTAAAGACAGGCAGGGATCATCAGGAGAGGGTTCTGATCCTGGAGAACCAGAGTTCCTGACCTATGAGGAGGTGACCCGCTATCAGCAGAGGCCAAATGAAAGGCCCCGCTTGGTGGTTCTGATCGGTAAGACTGAAAAGCACAAA